CATCCCATTAGGATAAATGAGCCAGGTGCCCCTTGAGTCATCTCATTAGCACAAACTCTCAGGTGGAGTCTGCAGGGGCCACGTCAAATAATGAAGACACTCTGGGCCGGGGATTTAGCTCAGTGGTGCTGCCACCTGGCTCACAAGCGCAAGGTCTGGAGTTTGATCCCTGGTACCAAAAAATAAAAAAATAAAAAAATAAAAATAATGAAAACACTCTTGGGGCTGGGGATGTAGCTCAGAGGTATTGCACTTGCCTAGCATGAGTGAGGCCCTGAATTCCACTCACTGTACCACAAAAAGAAAAAAAAATAACAGTAAAAATAAAGATATCCTCATCATTCCAGAAATTCTAAGGATTTAAAGGTTCCTCCCTGGAACTGGGCCAGAAAAAAGCCACATTCTTCTTTATACAGATGTGTTATCCTTTCTAACATTGCTGGATTTAATTTGCTAAATTTCTGTTAAGGATTTTGTGTCTATTATCCTGAGGAATATTAACATGTAGCGTGGAAAATTTTGACAGATATTTTAAATCAAATTTTAAAAGCTCCTTATAGTCCCAGTTTGCTAGGAGTTTTAATCATGAATGGATGTTTGACTTTTGTCAAGTGCTTTCTCTGTGTCTGTTAGGATGATAATGTAGTCATATTCCTTTAATTTATTAATATGATGGATTCTGTTAGGAGATCTAATGTTGACCAATTCTTCATTCTCGGAAAATAATTTTCCATGTATTTAAATTTTTCTTTTATTTTAAAAATCCATTTTAATATCACAAATAACAGGAATATTCTGTTTGTTTTCTGAGACAGGGTCTTGCTATGTAGTCCAGGATAGCCTTCAATTCTCTGTGTCGCTGAAGGTGGCCTTGAACTCATGGTGATCTTCCTGCCTCAGCCTCCTAAGTACTGGGATAACAGGTGTGTGCCACCACGCCTAGCTAGGAATACTCCTATTAAAAAGGTGGAAATCCTAAGCAAAATAAGCTAGAGTCAGCAAAATATCACATTTCTCTTATATGAGAAACCTAAACTATAGATAAATAAATATACAGATAAGTAAATAAATGACAGATGATAAGAAATTAGAAGCTAGACTGCGGGAGATGGGGGAGGAGATCAAGGAAGGGGAGGAAAGGGAGAAGCGGGAAAAGGGATTGAAAATGATCAAAGTATGTTACGTGCATGTACCGATTCCCCAAAAGAAACATCACTATTCTGTATTACAAACATGCATGAGAGAGACAGAGAATTGAATTGAACTGGCAATCTCCAGCACTGTAAAAAATATTAACTGAGATTATCAATAAATAGGTTTGTCAACTACTTTGTCTTAACTTTCTTGTCACTAAGACATAATACTCAACACCCATAACTCTAAGGAGGAAAGGCTTATTTTGTCTCACAGTTTGTAGATGTTTCAGTCCATAGTTGGCTGGTTCCAAGGCAGGGCAGCATGGTAGCCAGGCAGGACAGACGAGAAACAGCCCATGGCTGGTAGTGGTGGGAAGCAGGAAGAGACAAAGGGAGGGGGGAGGGAGATACATCCTTCCAGACCACGCCACAGTGACCCACCTCTTCTGTCAACCTTCACTTCCCAACATCACATGTGTATAAAGACATCAGAGAGCTAATCACACCCCCACTATCCCATTACCTTTCAAATCCCTACCTATGATCACAGGAGGCTTTGGGGGGACATTCAGATACAAACCATAATGTACTTTTTCAATTGATAAAAATTTTCTTATATCATGAAACTATTTTCAAAAATATGATTATAAGGAAGTGTATAGCAGGTTATCCTGTATTTATATTTAACCAATCTCTTATGGTAATTTATTTTGATTGCTGCCAACTCTGCATGATAAACAGAGAAGTGAAAAAAAGTAAAACTACTTCTGTATATTTGCAAATACATAGCATCCTCCTGGAAAAATGAATAAGAAATTGGTTATAAGGACTGTCCTAAGAACAGAGGAAATAAATAAATAAAGTTTATTAAAAATTCAAAAGTAATTTTAAAAAAGAACAGAAGACCAAGTGATTGAAGGACAAGGTGAATAGGTAGTCCTAGTACCTTCTTGTCTTTTCTGCATTTTGTTCCGGGAGCATTTAAGTGCTTTTGAAACTATTAAGTGGAAACACTACAGAAAATGCAGGAGGTCCCCTTGTCCACAATTTTCAACTTTTTCTTTTCTAGGCCTTCCCAGAAGTTAGAATTCTATGGATTTGAAGTACTTCTTCTGTGGAATATTCTTTTTGTTTTGTCTTGTTTGGTACCAGGGATCGAACTCCGGTCCTTGTGCTTGCGCAGCACGCAGCAAAACCACTGAGCTAAATGCCCAGCCCTGTGGAATATTCTTTACATTTGTAAACATGTAGCATTTTTTTTTTTTTGGTAGCAGGAATCAACCTCAGGACCTTGCGCTTGTGAGGCAGGCGCCAGAACCACTGAGCTAAATCCCCGGCTACGTGTAGCATTTTGAGTTTAAACAGGAGAACATACCAGTGTATTCCCTCATGCTTTCCCACTGTTGTCAAATAAATGTGTACAGGTTCGTGTGTGTGTGCACCTTAGCCAGGTGAGATCATACCACAAGTATATGTGTAAGTCTGCTTCTTCTGCTTTATAATTTAGAGCTCTTCCTCCCCTTTTCTTTTTAGACAGGATCTCACTCTAGCTTAGACCGGCCACAAACTCACTGTCCTCCTGCTTCAACCTCCTGAGCTCTGGGATGACAGGCGTGTACCACAATGCCCAGCTTTTCTCCATCCTTCTAATAGCTCACAACATTGCATCATATGAAAACACAACTCTTTCTCTATCTGCCCTAGAATTTCTCTATGTTGACACAGAATGAAAGCAACAAAACTGTTGCTTCTTAATGTGTACACACTTTTTTGTTGTTTTAACAAATAATACCAAATTGCTGTCCTTAGGGACCACATCAGTTCATTTAATGCACCAAAGGCGCCTTTTCTCCAGCCTACACACGCCCTTCCTGCTTGCTGTGACCTTGATGGAGCAAGGCATGTTCTTGGTGTGGGCCCCCGGCAGTCCGTGTGCAGGCGCTGGGAGTTGGGCGGCCTCATGAGTGTGTGAGATGGCATGATGATAGGCTGTGCAGTGTCACAGTGGGCGGGAATGACTGCCCTGACAAGACAGCCAGGGGAGGGAGGTGCAGGTGGCAGCCAAGCTGAAGGCAGGCAATTTAGATGCACTTGGTCCTCTTCTCACTTCTCCATTAGCGCAGTGACAATTTATCTGAGCTCTCACCCAGAACGCCTTCTGGAAGACCTGGCTACCTCACCCCCTAAGGTCAGCTGAGCTTGACAGTGGCCTGGGTCATTTTCATTTTCAAGACTCCCAGCAAAATAAAACAGTGAAATGGCTAGCAAGGTTAGCAAAACTGTGCGTATAATATTGCCTCTGAACAAATACATAGTCCTAACAAATACAGAACAATGTCACTGCACTGGTCAAAGATAATGACAGGATTTACAGACAGTATCAATTCATAATGTACTACAGATGGTACGGTCCAGGAATGGATCTGAAAAATAGCTTTCTTTTACTAGTCTGCTAAGGTGGTGCTGTAACCAGATAAGAATTGCCTTTGGAGAAGGCTAACTTTGAGCAACTTTCCAAACGTGAAGCAGGACAAATGTCTTCCTGCCTTCTCCAACCTACCGAAGCTCATCTAATGTGGGCAGACAGCAAAGCAAGACGTCCTGGTTAAGCCTTTCTAAATCCCGTGCCTGTGCTGACGACCCGCACTTTGAGGGAATCTGGATGCATTTCATGGTTTCCCAATGTATGCGTTCTGTTATATTTTAGTAGAATAAAAGAGAAAAAGTGTTGCTCTGCCTGTGGGGCTGTGAAGGGGAGAGGTGATAGGGATGATGTAAGTTCTAGATAGCAAGCGGGTGGGGTCTAAGACATCTAGAAGTGGGTTCCAGGCCGGGTGGATTCCAGTACCAGATTGAAAGGTGGATCCTGGACCTAAATGAGGAGGATTCTAGGCTACAACAGAGATGAATTCTGGGACAAGCAGTAGGTTCTAGGACAGGGACAGATGGATGGTGGGCAGGCCATCCCACTCCATGCTCCCAGAACCCACCCATGCACCGTCTCCCTGGAGCCCGTAACACACCCCAGAGCCACTCATTTTTTGTCTCCACAGGCCTTTCCGGGGCCCCATCCCCACCGCCTTAGGTCCCCAGTTAAGACACTCGAAACCCGCCCTGCGGTTTTCCTTCCTACCACTCAGCGCGGCCCCAGCGGGTGACCAGACCTAGACCCCCAGACGCTGGTGACAGGCGCTGCCTGTGTCCTCAGGGCGAGACTGGGACTCCCAGCGGGCAGAGGCCACGCTCGCTCGGGCTCGCCCGGGGACAGGCACACGGGTCACAAGAACGAATGACTTTTCCGTGAGGCTGAGGACCCTGTTTGATTTGCGACTTCATAACAAGTGCCTTAGAAGTGTACCTTGGCTGGATCAATCAATAAAGCAAAGAGGAAAGTGAAAGAGAGCAAGAAGGAGGAAATGCAGGAATGGAGAGGAACAGGAGGGCGAGGTGGGCGGGCGAAGGCAGCAGCGCGCGCAGGACACCGGGATGAACCGCCGGCCACCGCCTGCCGCCCGCGCGCTCCAGGATTGAGAGGGGCGGTGCGCGCGCAACCACGGAGAACCGCCCCCCCCC